GGTCAGCCCTGCCCCTTGCGGGCTCCCGCAATCCTGACTCCCTGGCGTCCACCTCCTCAGCCCAGACGGGCCTGACTCCGGCCCCTCACTGTTCATGCCCGTCGTCAGAGCAGCATCCCTGCCCGTCCGCTCCAGGCCCCTCCTCAGTGCTCAGTACCGTCCAGAGGGACAGAGCTGCTGTTTGCTCCTCGCACCTTGTCTGCCTTCTGCCACCACAGCCCTCCTGGCATGGAGTGCCCAGAGGCAGGGCCACATGCCTGCTTGCAGCACAGGCCTGACCCAGGGTCACGCCGTCAGCTTCCTGGCGGCCAGGGGCGTCCTGGAGCCTGTGGGCTTGCCGTCGGCCTTGTCGGCCAGACCCGGGCCCCGTGGTCCATTCTCCCCCGAAAGGATCCGCGAGGCCAGAAGGCACCCAGGGCCTCTGTGCCCCCCACCCAGGCCAGGCCAGCAGGGGTCCCCAGCCAGCCCTTCTCTGTCCCTCTCAGAGCTGGACCCCGAGAGCGAGCTCAGCAAGAACCTCAGCCTGATCCCCTACAGCCTGGTGCGCGCCGTCCACTGCCAGCGCCGCCGGCCGGTGCTCTTCACGCCCACCATGCTGGCCAAGGCGCTGGTGCAGAAGCTGCTCAACTCGGGGGGCGCCATGGAGTTCACCATGTGCAAGCCAGGTGAGCCCCTGGCCGGAGCCCCTCCCCACCGCCAGGTCACATCACAACAGTGGCTGGAGGAGCAGGAGGGGCGGTGGAGGGGCCGGGGGTGGACGGGAGGCCTGTGTGCCCATATCAGCCTGGCCAAGTCCTCACTCGGGGGCCCAGAGCCAGGGGAGCCGGTCGTCCCTTCCCCCCTTTACACTGAAGGTGGCAGGGTGAATACGGGGTTCAGGGTCAGCCAGGGGTCCCCAGTCTGGGCCTTTATGTGGGAGACAAGCCACCCCATCACTGGGGACTTCTGCATCCTCATGTGGTAGGGAGACAATGCTGGGTGGTGGGTGGACAGATGGATGGGTGGACAGGTGGGTTGATATGTGGATGGATAGATGGATGGATGGATGGGTAAAAGGATGGGTGAGTAGATGGATGAATGGATGGGTAGATGACTTGATGGATGGGTGGGTGGTGGATGGATGAATGGATTGGTAAGCAGACTGATGGATAGACGGATGATGGGTGGATTGGTGAGTGGGTTGATAAGTGGATGGATTGATGGATGACGGGTGGGTTGGTGGGTGGATGGATGATGGATGGGTTGGTAAGTGGATTTATAGGCGGGTGGATTGATGGATGATGGGTGGACTGGTGGGTAGATGGATTGATGAGCAGATAGTTGAGTGGATGGGTAGATGGGTGG